TCTTTTCTTTTCTTTTCTTTTCTTTTCTTTTCTTTTCTTTTCTTTTCTTTTCTTTTCTTTTCTTTCTTGTTTGTGAATCCGAGAACGCTATTTAACTAGTGAAGATCAAAGATAACTGTTTATGGACATTTGCAAATTTTTTTTAAATGGATCATTTTGGAAATAACGACAGACAGCCTAACAAATTATCATTCTAACAGAAGAAATAATGTCTCCGGATGCACAGAAATCATCTGCTAATCTAATATAGGAGAAATAAGGAAGTGATGTGTAAACGTTTTGTGAGCATGGTAAGGAGGCTCCATTAACTTTATTATTATTATTATTATTATTATTATTATTATTATTATTATTATTATTATTATTATTATTATTATTATTATTATTATTATTATTATTATATTTAATATTATTATTATTATCGTTAGACATTCTGTAACATTAAAGAAATTCGGGGACTGTGCCCGGGAATCGGGAACTTCTGGTATCTCTTGTTTAAGAGCTATGAACACAAAGTAATCATGGGGACATAAACATGTACTTATAAACAAGTATGTACCGTTCACTATGACCATGAACGTAAACGCAAACACAGACCCTTGCCAATATAGAGACACAGAATACTCGGCACAGAAATTCTGTGTACAATCATTAATTGACATTAATTGAAATGAACGCAATATTCGTCGGATGAAAATTATTTTCTATTGTATATCATGAACACCACAAATTATTATGATGCAATTTTGACGATGACAACAATTATTACTCTTGAAAACTGCATTCGTTTTTGTCTAAAGAAAACGCTGCATGTTCTTCAGATCTTCCTGCGGTACAGGATAGTGTATTGTTCTCAGGATAGGTAAATGAATGTGGAAGCTTGTAGCTTGCGAACGTCCAAGGTTACGTCTTTAAGCTTTTGCGTTTAAGTTACGTTAATGAGGGGACCGCTACCTCCTGTTACCGCGTTTGCAAACACTTTACAAAAATAAATGAAGAGATTTTGCACAGCATATGGAGACATTTTGTTGACACTATTAGTGTAAACTTATTAAAAGACAACTACGTGAGTATGTAGTGTTTCATTTCGTTGATTGCGTTTTGCAATTCCTTTTCCCTCTATGTCGTCAGTTAATGGAGGTTATTCTGAATAGTAATGACAGGGGATACTACTATCGCTTAATTCTAACTATCGCAAATGCTATAGATCTATATTACGTATTTCGTTTTTTGATTTATTAGCTTTTACTCATTTATCCAGGTCGTTACAGGTTAACACCTCTTTCGTTATCGCCGTAATGTTTCTTGTTCACGCTATTGCATTAAATACAAAAGTTAAAATATCGTATCCCGACATTTCTCTAACATAATGTGAGAGTTCGCGTACACACTTCAACCTGCTTCAACCTGTGCAAAAACTTGTGAATAACATTATTGTTTGTATTTATTCACTTTTCCGCTAGCAGGGCCCGCCAAAGGGTTTTTTCTGTCCGAAAAATTGCCGTTTTGCAGTGCACACCTCCAATGCTTCTTCTTACGAAGTGAGGCGAGAAAAAAAAAGGATTACTTTGGATCCTATTGCAAGTAGTTATCAAGTTCATTGCATCACACATATGATGAGTGACAGGTCTGAAAGCAAGATCTGAAAACATATTTCAGGTCATCTTTAGATCCCTTCGTCGCGATAGCTGTTTAGCCACGCTTCTTCATGAAACGCTACTAGCTCTCGTACAGTTTTGAATTTCGTTGTGAACGCTAATTGACAACACCGATGAGCGCATGACCAGGCCAACAGTAGCTGTCACGTTTACCACATGAACGCCTAATCTCTGTACACTCGCACAAGATACAAATTGTCTGTGAATAAATGTTACAAACTTGAAAAAACAGTTGCGCCTTCGTTGCAACAACGAGTACTATTCATCTATTGTGTATCGAGCGTGTATTCCTCCGTTTGATTTTTGTCTTGCCTAGGAGCTTCGCAGTGAGCTTCGTAGTGTCATTGCCTTTTCTCCTCTCGGCCACTAGGACATGTAGAGGTATCCAAGACACGTTTTTCGAATTAATCAGTGATCGAAAAATTTCATATAATGAAGTTACACATGTGAGATTTGCTCCTAATTGTTAGGTAACTCGTCATACTACTGCGTTCCACTGCTTTCGTTCAGATGCAGTTAAAGGGATTTCGTGCACCTACCTGCCGAACACTGATGCATGAGGATTTGCCTAACACTCAGGGGCAAATGTCACAAACAATAATTACTTCGCTGTATGAAATTTCCCATTACATTTTCATGGGTAGAAAATGATTTTGGATTTCTCTACATGCTTTATAAATTTGTAACATTTATTCGGGAAAAAGTACTCTTGGATTAGGCATTCGCATTGGCAAACCAGGAAGAGAGGAAACCTTTATTCTATGGTACAGACAAAGTGCTGAGAATGGGAGTCATTGGACATGACAGGAAAGACATTTCGGCTAAGTTTTTGTAAAATTTAAATTTCCAAAACGAAAATTGCATCTGGCGAATGTTAATCATGAATGCTAAAAAAGTTTATGGTCAATAAACACAAGAAAGAGAAAAACTAAATTTTTAAAAAAATCAATGGGAAGGAAAACGTATTTATAAAAATAACACATAGGGACGTGAAATAACAGCTGTGTTGTGTGTAAATCAATGTACATTCACACATTGAACTACACACAGTACAAGAAAACTTTTTTGGGTTTTGTTACATTCAATTGTGTCCCTGTTACATGAAGTTTTGGAAAACATCTACTCAATAATAACGCCATATTGGAGAAGGCATAATTGTCACCAACGACTGTCTTCAGTGGATAACATTTAAACATAATTAAAGTTTTATGAAAGATGTAAAGAAGTTCCATTATTTTGTTATTAATTTTTGTCTCTTTTATATAATTGCTAAATTTATTAGTAAGCAAATTCAACTGTGATGATCCTTGCACAGTGAAAAAGTACTTAAAGATTATTGTTAATTATCTTTATTATGTTCTTAGTTGTTAATGTAGAAGTTATTAAATAATTACATATTTACTTTGATAACACCAGTGTCCCATTCATTACCTATGCTAAATATTCTAACGTATTCTACAAACGATCAAATATAATTAAAATTATTTATGGAGTTCGGTCAATAAATTAAATTTACAATTCTTATATTATCATTAACTTGATATTGCTCTGTCATTAGGTGGTTTATGTTATCTGCAAAACTAATGTAACAACGTAATATATGGTAATGACTAAATGCTATTTAATTACAAATTCATAACGTTTTAAATGTTGATTTTTCACAAAAAATGAGAACTGAGAATTTTCTTGATTTTTCTAAGTGTTTGTTGTACACAGAGATCACAGAATTAATAGAAAAAAAAGCAAGTTTGGTTTTCAGAAGTGATTGATCGTAACTTTTTCACATTTTAAAACTAGATTGATATGGGCTGTGATAAGTTTTAGGAACAGTAGTTGAGGACTGTGTTTGAAATTCAAAAAAAATATTTTAAATTAAAAAAGAATAGAACCTAGGCCTGTACAAAACCATTGATGTAGATTTGAAACTTATTATTTTTTATTTGAGCCTCTATACTTCAGAAAATCACGAAGTTGATTACGTGAAGTGTGCAGTAGTTTTATAATATATTTACTGTCCAATAATTGTAGTTTGTATATTCTATATTCGTCACAAATCTATTCTATTTCAATTAAATACAATTTTGAATGTGCAATTCGTGTACACTTCATGCACGTCACTTCTTCTGTACTTCTTACATATTCAAATGTCAACGTTATTATCATTTAATAGCAGTTGTTTTGTTTTGTTCTTGTGCAGGGTCGTGAACTTGTGGCAAATTCACGAGTATGTATCAGCACAGCTGATGGTGAGTCACAATTGACTCTTCGAAGCATCACTGCTGATGACAGCGGCAAGTATGTTGTAAGCATTGAGAACGTGTTGGGTGCCGACTGCTATTTTGCATCAGTTGCTGTTGAAGGTGAGTGCAAAAGATGGTTGTTTTTCACCTTAACATTCTGTAAAATTTATTTTTGATTATTATGTACTTAATTATTTTGTCTTTGAATGAAAATGAAAAAGGAATATTAAATGCAATTTATGAGGTTAATCTTATAACAGTTAAACAAAGATTCTCCATCCAGAGACTCTGGAGTAATTGTGTAAGACCAATGATGAAAATTAATTTTAATATCAAGAAGTGAGTTAGAGGGGTCCTAAAAAGTATCTGTTCTTCTCCATATTATAAATCTTAAATTACATTATGACATTAATTGCAATTAATTTTTAAATCCTCAACTTTTTGACATTTATTCTCTCAATTTTTATTGTTTATTGAATTGCAAATAAATATCTAAATATGCTGTTTCAAAAAGGTATTTTGCTGTGTGCATCCGATTTAAAAAATATTTGTATGGTAATATTTACCAATAGGAGAGATTTTACTTCTCTTATTAATATTTTACTAAGAAGAGTAAAATCTTGCTTTTTTCCTTTGAGGCAACATTCTTTACATGGTATTTCTTCGCATGGTAGTGTCTTTCAAGCAGAAAAGTTATTTTAAAAAAAATGGTCTTTTTTGGCTCATCATAAGGAAGATTGAGTAATATTTTAATGGATTATTAATCTGTATTAGTAAATAATATCAAGAATTTATTTTTTTCATTAGGCCTACACATGCGACAATAGAACCCGCATTATCAACAAAATATTAACAAATGGTTTGCATATTTGTTTCCCAAGCTACCTGATTTCATGCCTCTTTAGACCTCCCATGCGGTTATTTCTCCCTGTCACAGGACAAGTCCCTAGTGATTAGAGGACAGGGTTACACACTAATACACAAGTGGACAAAATAATATCGCTATGAAAAATTGGTTGTGTAGAATTTATTTTCATGGACGTGTAAAGAGCAAAATTAATGTTTTAAAATCATCTTCTGTAAAGTCATTATATTTTGCCAAGTTTTAACAATAATTAAAATTTATTTACTTAATAATTAAAATTATGAAGCAAAAATTATTTAATGGTAAACAACATAATGTTTTGTAATGATCTGATTACTTTTTAATTAAATTATGTACATTAAAGTATATTTCACGTGATGAGAGCCGAACAGTTTCTTATCATTCAGATTAAGATCATTTCATAATTTGTTGAACAAAATGCCAATTGTTTTCTGACAATATTTATTTGTTTATATATGCAAAAATAGAAATGTTCTAGAATGAAGATGATATAGATATAGGTATAGATAGAGATGATTTATAAAAAGGTAGAGATATATATAGATATATAGATATATAGATATATAGATATATAGATATATAGATATATAGATATATAGATATATATATAGATATATAGATATATAGATATATAGATAGATAGATATATATATAGAGATATATATATAGATAGATAGATATATATATATAGATAGATAGATATATATATATAGATAGATAGATATATAGATATTGGGGCATATATTTTTGAAGGAAATGTTTTCATTAGCTGTACACATTCACAAGTTTGGAAACTGGGGAATCATGCCTGTCAGCTCAGAAGACTTACGAATAGTTAAAGGACTCCTTTACAATCGCTTAGAATAGATTTATCCAAACTTTTTTGGCCACAGATCCCCTTCGTAACAATTATGAAAAACATTGTTCCCTCACAGGAACTTTATTAAACCAAAATAATAAAGTTTGGAAATGATTCTGAGCAATATTTATTCAGTAATAAAAATTGAATCAATGTAATATTGTTATCTGCAATAAGTTAAATTAAAGCAAAAAAATACAAACCGTTTTTATATTTATAATGTAAAAATTCAGTCCACAAATTAACATCACTTATTAAAAACTAGAGGTGCTAAAACAGCTTGTACTTTCTCCCCATATTTTCACTCAAAATTACACGAAAATAACTTTTCTATAACTTGTACATGACTTTATTTCAAAATCTATTTTTACGGAACAGATTTCACTAACGGGAAAATCTCTATCTTTTATATTTTAGTTGTAGGAAGACTCCGAACAAAATTTCAGCTTTGCCATTTTGGAAAATTTATGGTTTTTCACAAACATGAGACCTGCACAATTGTCTTAAACATCATTCACACTATCCGATAACGAAACTTAATAAAAAATGATGAAGTCATTCATTTTGAAAATTTGGAATATGGTCCAGGGCATCATGTGAAGTCCCCCTCCAATTGGTATATTGGTTTGAAAATCAAATGTTTTTCTGAAAATCGAACGACGAAATGACGAAATGACGAAAATCCGCCGTTTTCGTGCATTTCATAACTTTCTCTGTATAGGGGTTCCATAGAGATAGTTATGAGAAACTACTCTACTCTGTAGGGAGAAAGGAATAATGAAAAATCATTATATTCCTACATGGATTTAATGTTCATGCACATAACAGTTTCTTTATTAACACTTGCTTTGCTTTGCTTTGCTGGAAATGACAATTCATGATCTATGTGAAGTTTGTGCTTCGTATTGTATCATGCAAAAATTTGAATGTTGTTCAAGGGACACTTTTGACTGTGTAAATGAGATAAAACCTTCTATCATTTTAATTAATTTGGTATAACCTATTGAAATTGTATATATTTCAAACTAACTGACATGAAAAAAATAAATAATAATGAATGAGAGTCTGACTGATGATCAGCTGCCTCCAACATTTTTTAGTAGAAACTATTGACTCCTAAGAAAATTCTAAATGATTCCAGGGGGTTTATATCGAATATTTTGAGAAGGGCTGCCTTAGCTCTAAGCAGATGATTCATGGTGAAGATTGATTGAAAATTCAAGCAATACAAATATATTTGTATAAACGTTGTATTTAGTTATTTCTGCTAGTTGATTACTATGATACACATCAGATTAATTACTACCCTTAAGTTCGTTCATATGTTTAGTATTTTCCTTTTTCAATTTTTTTTTTATTATTATTTTTTATGAAGTCTATACAGTTATGTTTCTTTACTTCTACATTTTACAGTACACTATGGTCATCAGTAATCATTGTCATATTTCTTTTCAGTAATGTTGAATGTTTTTACAATTTGTTTAATGAGTGAAAATTATAAATTGTATCTCTAATAACGACCGGAATTCTTCAGCAGACATTGATACAATAATATTTTCCAACAGTTTTCCTTATTCTTATGATCCAGTGAATTTTATGAAATTTCTAAAAAAAAAAAATAATTTTCATCTTTCAATGTCATTTCATATTATTGATAATATAGTTCTATTAGTTTCATTTTCTTTTGTAACAATTTTCGTAATCCTAACGTTTTATATGATTTCTAAGAAGAACTTATAAAATTTTATATATATTGATTGCAATCTGAAATTTCAGAACCTGAACTGTGATGGAAATGTGTAGTTTAACATTACAAACATTACAAACCTTAACAAATTTAGTTTAAGGTAACATTTACAGATTTAATGATTAGCAATATTGTTACATCAACTAATAATAAATACATTTTGATCTAGAAATGAATAAGTACTAGCAATTTACACTATTTAAAAAAATGCATTATTTGGACAAAGAAATTACTTTAAATACCCATAACATTTGAAATTTTCATTTTCACACGCGAATTCTTCTTATGCATGAAAATTTAGAGTTTGTATAATATGCTGGGTCAACAAACTCGTAAATTGAAGATTACATATTTTGGGAATTTAGGTTTGAGTAAAAACTGCATTTTTGAATTCGGACGTAATAACATTGGTATAAAGTGCTAATGATATGAGGGTCAATGAAAAAATTTTTCCTTTGAACTTTTCACTATTAGGGGAAACGTTTTTTATATTAGAATTTTCACGTGAGATTTCAATTTTTCAGAAGTTCGTCAAAATGCTCAGACGTTTAACTAATTTTGTCTATAAATAAAACAAGGTCAAAGATCAAACACGCACCAAATATGATCTTTCTAGCTTTTTGCCATCACATTGAACAAGTTAAAAAGTTTCCAGAGGAATCGGAAGTGTTATTCTTTTTTCGGCCGATTTCACGAATTACCCACGTGCATTTGCATATTATTTTAGTTTATATATTGGTCATTACATTGTACTGTAAATATGCCTGATGGGACATATTTACCTTATTTTCGATATTAATAGTTGTAGCCGCATTAATCAATAAAACGCATCACTTAATGAGCCTTCCGTCAACTTTAGCACTCGCCATTTTTTTGGCAGAATCCGTTCAGTTAATGAGCAAAATCCGTCCATTCAACTCCTGATTGCCAGAGATATTTCCGCACATTTATAGAGCACAGTTTGAAAATATTTACACAACCCCAATTTCGATTCTTCACGTCAAATTAAGAATTTTAGTAATGACAGAAAGATTTCTTGCATGCGACAATACGCGCTAAAATAGTAAGTTCAAGTACTGGCCGGAAATGTCGGTAGATGTTCGGATCATGGATCGTTCCTTTTAGTTTGACAGACTGTGCAATCTTGAAACCGACAATTTAGAAAAATACGTGATTGTAAAAATGTTTAAAAGCAAATATTGTTAATAACAACGATTGTATAATAATGTCTCATTTTTAATCATATTCAATTTTTCCTAATGCAAATATGTTATTATTTAAAAATCTATATTTTATTATTGCTGCTTCACGTCGCACTTGCGTATAACGCATAAACAGTTTCAATGCTTACGTTCATGCGTATTTCAGCATTTTTATGTTGCAAAAAATCCGGTCTCTAATTATGACGCATCCCCCCACATCCCAAGTTTTGTGCACGCACTTTTTCACAATAGTCAGTTTTATTTTATTTACGTTGTATATATATTTTTCGACAACTCGGCTATTGTTTTCCAAACTTCTTCAAATTATTTCAGGGTAGCTCCTCGTTCTTAAATGGCACTTGGGACACGATTTTGGGGGCGGTCACTTCGTTGTTTGTTTTGTTTTCTTCGAAGCTTAATCACCTG